TCAGAAAAAACGCCGTATTTTATCTATGCAACAACTAGAGATATTAGCCAGGAAATTCAATTTGCTTACCAAGAGAATTTTTGTGTGGGACGATTAGTGCTGGGAAGATTAAAATTCAATGAGTTAGCGAGGAATTCCAACAGAATGAGTATATGTGCTAGCGGCGCTCTTCATCTGTGTCGGATCTCTACTATAAAGCATACCGGATGTCTATAAGTTGAAGCGTGTTAGGCGTAATCAACTAGTTGATTGAGAGTTTGAAGTTGAATGGAGTTAGAAAGCTGTCTTTTCTCTTTTTCGTTGATATCAATCTTCTCTCATCTCAGAAGTATTTGAGAGACCCGAGATTAATTTCAAATCCAGATCTTCACAAAATACTGTGCCACACTTTCTACCACACAAATACCAGTATTCTATTAGTGTGTCTGGGAAGTTTTGAAAAAATTTTGCCTCTCAACTTTGAAAGCATGTTGGTTGCGAACGCGCCAAAGAAAGCTATAGATTCGATAGCAAGGAAAGGGGCATTGTTAATAGATCAATCCTAAAACTAATCTTCATCTGACGTGGTCGTTCGAAGTAGGTAATCGTCGACCAAACGATGTGCCATCGATAGGGCTATCGGAGCCACCTGCTTCATCATTACAAACTGATCGCTTCGACATTTAGGCTTGGAATGAGATATGGCGACTGATTGGCAGCGGTGATTCTCTCTCGTCACCTACTATAAATGGCATGATCGCTTCCTCTGAGAAGATATTTGCTTCGACGAAGTTTGTCGGAGCAACGTCCGCTGTCCTCAAATACCGACACCGTTCTGACCTCACGTCAGAATAATCCTCCTCGAAGTTTCAGGAAATGGAAAAGGCGATCTCCACTCTCCAATTCATATCTACGATGTCCTACGCAAAGTCGCTTTTTGCAAAGCAGGACTTTTTGCAAATATTGCCCGCTCTATGGCTGAGCAGGAGCTCGAGTGCGAATCAGTGTGTGTCGGAAGCTCCTCGACTGTAAGCGAACGGCGACATCAGCAGACTTCGTTATTGCTCATTATAAAAAAATGTCATATGAAAATTCACACAGGAAATCGCAATGCCTGGCAGCGGACCTAAGGTCACAGCCCACTATAAAGCGAGGCGCTAACGTCAAGAAAGGCATAAGCTCATTCCTCCTCTGCTCAACCGGGTACTTCACTAGGAGATCTTACCAGAGTGTACTGCGGTAAACGCAAAAGTATCCTGTTACCGACTGCCCCAATTTCACATCGGTCTTGAGGGAATTTACGATTGTGATGGGTAATTGCTCGACCCCCACGCGAGGATGGATGAACTGGAAAAACTTTGTATAACCTGGCTACCCCGATCCCCACATATTTGTCTGACCATAACCCTTATGACTGCCATACCTTCAGAAGCCCATAGACCTGCTCTATAGGGAAAAACTCACCGACTGGCGAAAAGTCAAGTAGGTGGTAGAGGAATGGGTTGCGTCACGCCTCTATTCAACTGAGGAATGGCATCAGTTCCCAGTCCGTTTGATGGAGAAATATTGTGGCTATGAAAGGCGACCATCTTGATCACTGATCTAACCATATTTTTATTGGTTCTGTGCTGAAAAACCGGCAGAATTTTCTCAAAACTTTCCGGACACCTTAATACCATAGTCATGCTCCGGAAAAGCTGATTATAAAAAGAGACTACGAGAAATCCGTTCCATTTTTTCTGAGAGATTTCTTCTGATCTGATTTGCGTGCGCCTCTGTGTTTTTAGGAACTTCCATATCAGAAAGCTGGTCTACATTTGATCAAAAGTTTATGTGCATCAACGTCCAATACAAACATTTCAAATTTGGTTGCTTTGAAAACTGATTTGATTTCTTGGCCTCTCGGCGAAAGCTCAGCTTTATTGTTATTCAGAATAGCGAAGAGCGTTCCACGGAACAACGTCGTGACGATTTCATGTTAGTTTCGAGCGAGTCAACTATGTCTACTGACGGGGTAAGTTTCATGAGCTACTTTTTTTTCACCTTCCTCGCGGGGAGCATCCCTCGCTTGTAGTGTTCTTTTCCTATCGAGATGCTTCCGTTTTGACTTTGTTCTATAATGGAGATCCCTTTCAGTCTAAAGAACTTTTCCGAGTGGTGCTGCGTGATCGTAGACATGAAAGGGAAGAGCTCCACCTGTTGTTCTACTTAATTGCCGTTGCAACAGATCAAAGTGAGTCTGGGAGTTACCTTTCACTAGTAGACGGTTTGTGTTGTCTCTGAATACCTTTTTGATTTAATTTTGTTGAACATATTGCGTTCATTTTTCGACAAATAAGATTTACAAAAAGTTGATAACAACTAGTCTCTGGCATGAGATCTCACAGCTAGTGTGCTCTCGGTTACTAGGCATGGCCCACCACCCGATTCGCAAACCCAAATGTGGCATCATAGACTGATATGGTGCGCTCCATCACCTCATTCGGCAATTTTTCCTAGTAAGTTTAGACTTGTAAAATCCCGAGTGGCGATTGAGACAAATGAAGCGGTTTCTCTTCGTGTATTTCAGTTTCTTTCCATTCCAAAGAGTATACCATCGGAAGCGTCTTCACATCCAAGCCCAGATCATGTTTCTATGTGGCATTAATTTGTTTTGCTCTCATCGCGATTTTGTACCACCCCGTCGTTCCTCCAACTGCAATTTACGTCAATTCGAAAATAAATAACCCTCGATGATAATTCCATAAAGAAGACCTGTGAGAAGGAACTGTGATTAACATAGGACCTTGTCTTGGCGGCGATTGCTACATGTCGCGGAAACTTGGGAGTTTCCCAAACTTTGGAGGAAACTCTAGAAATTGCTAGTTTACGCTGGCATGCTTCTGATTGTGGCCGGTCGTCATGAAGAAGCAACGGAAGAGTCTTGAAGTAGAGATATCTGGTGACCTCACACCGTTCGCATTTCTTTGGAATCGTCTTTCATGAAATATTATTTATAGAGCACAATGCATGGCTCATTTTACATGTTGAACACCCAATCTTATGCTATGCTATGTTTCAACCCGGTTACCATGTTTCCACGGATATAAATATTATTACAGCTTCACCACTGGAGGAAGAACGTCACCGCGAGGATTCCAGGCAGAGCGAAGTTGGAGAATTCAAAAACTTCGAAAAGAAAAAAGAAGTACCGCCTGTAGAAAGTGTGAAGGATATAGAGCAAATGGTGAACCGGATCAAGTAGGTTTACCAATTTTCACTGCTCCTCCTGTTATCTGATTGCCATCTGGCACGTGAACCGATCAGTCAAAGTTAGTGTGCGATTTGAAGGACGGTCCTTTGCTGTTACCTAATATTACCAACACCGTATTTCATAAAAGTGGATACACCTTAAATTTTGTTATTGCAAACATAACTTGCATTTTTGATAGATGGGACAATCACTAATAGATCTCTTATCTCGAAAAACCTGATGCTGTTTCTTTGGAAAGATTCTCTTCCCTCAACAACTTAAACGTCCTCGACGGGGGGAATTTCGTCGTATTATTATATAGAACCTTTTTTAAAAACTAGCCAGGAAGCATGAAAACTGAACATGCATAAGGGGAAATCGGGGAGTAAGTTTACACAACATCGAGATTGCCATGCCTAGTGCAACTCGTCACTCTTGTCAAGAAAAGGGCAAGTAGAATACTTTTCTAATCGGAATGGTTAAGGGAACTCTCGTCCATATAGTGACCACCTCATAACTGCGCAAGCAGCACATCAGCGTGCAAATTTTCAATCGCTGCGTGAAAAATAGGTGTTCCGGTCGGCCATATTGTTTTTAACAAGTATGAAATAGGCTTAGGCGTCTTCTTACTCTACGCGGAGTCTGAACAAGTTGAGCGCTGGATTGGGGCTTTCTGCGCGTAGAAACATCGCACACGCGTAGAAACACCGCAATGCGTGGTATGTAATCTAGAAGAGCGAAAATATCACAAAAGAATTCTTTGGTGATATTTCCGCGTTCCGAGATCAGCGGAATGCCGCAAAACCTTAGACCTCTAAATGACCTAGTCTCATTGAACATGATGTTAACCCATGGTGGTCTTGGCTAGATGTCCTCACTACACGTTCTAGATGATCTCTGGGACTGATGAGAATAAGAATAAGTTTACATAACGGGCCTGACTGGAACGAATACCTCTGGGACTTGCTCAAACCAACTTTGATTCAGTAGCCTCGGTGGTTGTGAAATTAGCAGTTTGGAATGGTTATTGTTCGGCTAGAGACGATTTTTTTTGAATTCTTTCATGAGGGTCGAAAAGTTGGTCAGCGGTAGTTATTTTTATACGCAGTAACGTGGCTGTTCGTGCCAATCATTCCACTTCGATTGGATTGCAGGGAAAACATCGTAGTTTTCAGGAAGGCTCGATACTGTGATACGAACAACTTTACGTTTGGTATTCATTGATACTTTTAAAAATTGGTTTAGTGACGATGACGCGGATGGCAGTTTGTCGTCTCGTAGACGGTTCTCCAGCGGTGGCCACTTGCAGAGCTCTACAACTGCTGCTTTATCCATCAACAAGCCGCCCAATTTGGGTGATTCAATATTGTTTACAATCAAACTTTTACAAACTATTGGTAGCATGTGATTATAGTATCAGATGCAGAGTCGATTCTGAACTCACCCCGTTGCTCCGAAGGATTCCTAAAAGGCGCGGAATCAGACGGAGACGTGCATCGAGTGACCGTTCAAGGAAATGCACCACGTCGTCATCGGAAACCGGCATATAATGACGGTTGGTTGCTGACAAAGTATTGCACAACGTTCACTAATTGCAAAATAACTTGAACCTGAAAAATTTCCAACTATTCCGCTAGACTTTTATGGTACATAATGAAGTGTTGAAATTTTTGCGTAGGTGTTCACAAATGTTTTGTTAGGAATTATATTTGAAATAAGTGATTTACTGATTTGCTGTTGTTCAGATGGTACGATTCCTGGTGAGCATGTGACCTATATTCATTTCCTTAGCACACGACAAAGAATACTACAGAAGGTGGGTGGTATTCCGCTAATCGATGTATCGATTGTTCCAAGCATTGAAAAGCAACGATCAGCTTTTCTATATCGTTTCTTTACTTATTTGCGGGGTTGGCTATTTCTCAGAGATATTTTAGGTAGAGATGAATAAATAAACGAATAAATAAACATTAGTCGTTGTAGCACTCGGTAAGGATCGTAGGATTGTGAAGCGGTAAGCATAATGTTGAAGTGACTAATGTTAGCAGGTCATAGGAAAGCTATAGAAGCCAGAAAAAAGCTTGAGATAAATGCTACAAAAGAAAACAGTTAGAAAACGAAAAGTCAGCTTCTCCGAGTTGGGGGCAGTTGAGAGGATAGTAGGTCGAACTATTTTACTATTTCAGATTAGTAGCTGCTCAATAAGTGAATTAGAATCACTGTACTGTGTCAGTTAACTTAGAAAAACTCGAGAAATGTGTTGGAAAGCTTTCAAAGATATCAGATTCGTGTGATTGAAAAGCTTATTTCACAAAATTATTTTTATTTAATGATTGAGTTTAGGAAGTCGAAGATGCTGTTTCGCAGTTCAGCCTCCAACTAACCTCATGCGTGAAAGAGGCGGAATTTCTGTGTCGCCGTGCGATTATGTGGAAACAAGTCGGTCCTTGTAATGATTATTTTTCAATCTGGAGTTGTGATACGAGATTATTCACAAGGTGTCTACCACAGGTATTACTACCGAAGACGGGCCGTTCCGCTCAGCAGGCTGCAGGACTAAGCAGTATTTTCTTGGGATCGAATCCAAACAGGTTCATTAGTCCCATTTTTCATTCTCTATTATCATGAGTTTCCAAAAAGGGTGTAAAGATTCGTATAGCAAATAGTAAAACCTTCAAATCGCCCGGAGTCTTTCTATTGATCACAGAGCTGCATCCTTGGGTCTGTGTCGATTAGTGCGATTCTGTGTGCGCGCGGCAAGTTACAATGCGGCGAAATTCGGTGCGATTTGGACGACTGCAGCGTTTATCATTGGGGCCCAAACTTGAAGTAAAGTAGGTTAGTAGGATTGTCCGATCCTACTAAACTACTCTACTCCAAGTTTCAGCCCCAATGATAGGCCCAGGAGTTGTTTGAATAATCGCAAATTTCGCCGCGCAATTTGCCGCGCGCACCCGGAATCGCACGAATCGAACGTCCCCCAACTTCCTTTGCATGACTATCGCTCTTTGTTTCGTACTCCTAATTATATCTTTCCTAGCGTTCTCGGGAGCATGACTTTCACAACGACCTTTCCAATCAAATTACAACCTTTTCAAAAGCCTTTCTGCAAATTTTTCCGATCTTGGAGCGGCTATAGTGTTGTGTCCAAAAAACTGTCCTCAATCTAATGTTTTCTACTCTCTCGCCTTCTTTTGATAAAAGCACGAAGTCTGCAACTTGATTCGTCGGCATTCTCCACTTCCCGACGTTAACGAACAAGAGCTAGATGTTTGACGCCTCTTGTATGCAAGTGTGTCATAGCATACTTACACAAGAATCACACACGTACAGAAGAGGCCTAAAACACACCTTGCATAAAGATTTCACAGCAAGATGCTATTAGCTGTTATATTATTATGCCTCATACATTTTTTAAATTTAACATGCTTTTAATTTTCGCCACCTGTTTGCATATTCTCGGTAGTTGCAGAAGTCTCGATCAATGGCATCAGTTGCGTTCAGTTTCTCATCATGAGACAATGGAGCCATCAAAATTGAAAACGCTAATATCAATAGTTAGTCAGTATTACATGGAGAGCCGCGAACCGAGGTATTGTTTCGCTTTATGCCGCGTTGTGATTCTTGCCGTTTCTCAAGTATCACCTATAGAAAATTGGGCACTATTTACCCTTTACTGCCCCACTCTGTCGAGAAAGGGTTGAATTTCTATCGAATTTTTTCAAAGAAGATGAAATATTCGTGTTCTACGGGTCAAATAGGCAAGTTTCTAGCCGGTTTCATCTTCTTTGAAAAAATTCGGTAGAAATCTAGCCCATTCTCGACAAGGTGGGGCAGCAAAGGGTAAATAGTGCCGAAAATTGTATTTTGCTTTGGAATCTAGTATTTGTCAGGCTTCGCGAACTGCTGGAAGGTTCGAATTGCGCCCGGCTATGTCGTTTCCTGTTTGCCCGTTATGGACCAGACCGGTGTCGTTTCTTCGAGTTCCCAAATTCAACAGAGAAGGTTCATTAAAGTTCGGGTCTAAAATTAAAAATGAGAGAAGAGCTCGAATAATTGAAGAGGAACCTCGAAAACAGCATCTGATTTCGTAAATATTCGAGCAGGAGGGACGCTATGTGTCACGTTTTCTTTGAACACGTTTCGCTCTCCTTTTCAAAATGTTTCACCAGCACAAGGAATTTTCTACGAAAAATTCTCCCAGTTAAAAGAGGGGCAGCTCGCAGTTACGCATTCCGTCCTCCTACTCACCAATAATTTCATAGAAACTGTTTGGTTCACCGATCTTTTGGACAGTTCCTACTACTGTTGACAAAGACGTGAAGAGCTTCTCTTGACTAAGTAAGTCCATATCAGCCCTTGTCAGATACTACTACTGGCTGACCCCAGTCTTCCTTCTTGTTCTCTCTAGCTCAAAATGAAACGTCAAAGTGTCAAGACTGGGAGGAGAGGCATAAAAATATCTGCATCTTGGTGTTGAACTGTAACCTTCCTCATCAACTGTTACCATTTTTTGTCATCAACCGTTTACCATGCCTTGACTCCAGCCCTGTACTGAAGTATCAAAGCTCCCAATGTTTATTTATTTATTTATTTGTTGAATGCGCTCAAAAGGCGCGCTACAAAGGAAAGCTCGAGCTGCAGGTTCTGCACTACAAGAGAGATTAAGAGGTAAGAGAAACAAAATAAACGAATGTTGACAATGTCTTAGCCTTTATCATCACATATCAATCGTTACCACGGTCCATCACAAAGGGCTCCACTCTAGGATGAAGGGCATAACGAATCCAATGATTTTTGCCTTCTGAATACACCAACACCAGTCAGACCCACTAGGCGTCTGTGATCACATTCCTCCCCACATCAAGTGCCATAGTGCTACGGTTTTTAACACGAAGGGCCGATAGGCTCAGTGGCTCTTGAATTCTGAGGGTCCTTATCTGCTTCTGGTTGCATTCATTTTCATTAAATGATCATCAGCATTGTCTACTTGTCATTCACAAAAACTGTGCAAATGTAAACCTGTATTCCATATCAAGAGAAAAGATTCAAACTCAGAAGCTTTCAAAACAGGCTTCCAAAAAAAATCGTTTCCAAAATATCAAATTGCATCATTCATAATCATTTCTAACCATCATCATCTGCAGGTTAGCTCCATTGCAAGCAAGATGAGCAAGTTATATTCAGTTCTGGACGTTCCAGTCGTAGTGAATACCATCCAATGCAGGAAGAGCATGATTTTATAATTAGTTCAAGAGCATTTAATACATCATTCTATTTGAATCCATCTGAACGATAAGATTTTACTTCGGTTAATTTGGAAATGATATGCTGAGATGAGGAACCGCAGCCTAATGAAGAGTCTTGAGCAAAAATACATATCTGGTCGTTGTGAGGTGCTTATTTTATCTAACTCTAATGAGCGGTTCTGTATTCCTACATATGCATAAGTGCTTTGAATGTTTCCATGAGCAGATTACCAATGAGCGAGTTTATATTCCTTTTGAATCTATTTTTTCTCTTGTTTCAGTGTTTGATAGTGACAAATCCTGATTTGGATGCGATGTTTATGATAGAATGTGTCGGTGAAACCACTCCAACACTTAGTGTGCTACTTAAAGAGGCGGATCTTGTCGAGGACACACAGGACGAATCGAAACTGTTCCGGTGCGTCTTTGTTTCCGGTTTTTTCACTTATCGGTTCTATTATATCTTATTCAGCTGAGGAAGAGTTGTAGTAGAATGAGAAGATTTTCACATTTTGGATCTATCGTTGCTCCTCACCTTTTTGTTAGTTTTTTACTAGTGTTTCCTCGAACTTCTTCATTTCACCATTGGATCGGCAGAACAAACAGCATTCACAAAAGTAAAATTTCGATTCTTTGGACATTATTCTACGATGCGCTTGATTATGTCCAATTTTTTATTGAGTCTTTCGATATACACACTACCACTTAATACGTTGACACTGTCTTTGACGTTTTAATCAACTATGTTCTTCACGAGGGTGGAGACGACGCCATGTTTTGTGCTGCGCGTCCGGTGAAGGCTCAATCAAACGGGATTTCCTGAATACTTGCCGTCTGTCTTTCTTTCGTTTCGATCTTGGAGGGCTTCGCGTATCATCCATTGCCTGGAATTGGCTATTAGTTAAGAGCGACAAATTCTATGAATTCTATGTTTAGCGGAGGTCCAATCATGAGACTCTGCTACTAAATCGTTTTCCGAAAGGAAATGTGTCTCGATCTTGGCAGTAATGCTGGATGGCAACGATGGTCCAGTGCAAGCGCATTTTCAAGTGCATACCCTTGTTAGTGTAGTCGAAGATAGCAGCTTGATTGGTCCTCAAAAAGCCTGAATATTGGTCTACTTGTTTAAAATTTTGTTCGAGCTAATCAAAACTGAAGGTGGCGGAGCAGAAAAATGTGAATTTTTGCTACAGCAATGGTAGCTTGTACTTTGCGCTGTTCATTTTGCCGCGGTTGTCTGATCCGCCCCTAAAAAATAAATGGGCGCGCAGGTTCAGGTAGCATGAGCTCTGTACTCTACCGTGTAGAGCTTTTCAGCCAGTAAGAAAGTTTTGAAGTGAAATACGAATTTAAAGCGTGATTAGTTGCAGACAACAACGGTTGGACACCGCATTTGACGACTTGGTAGCGTGCGTGACCGCATTTTTGTGGGCAGACCTTTTGCAAAAACCTCCTGGAACTCACTGATTTGTATTGTTGAACCTTGTTGTAAATAGTAATAACCGAATACTTGTTGTGAGCATTACTGGCTTATTTCATCTAAGTCTGGTTTTCATTTGCATATTTTGTGATATTTTCGTATTTGAGTCTTGTTTTCAAACGGGAAACGAACTTTTATCTTGGCTAACGTTGTTGCATGACTTCTCGAACTACAGTAGTTATTACGCGTGCGAAGAAACTGCTTGCGGTGATCGTAGAGACCCACTAATCGAATTCAATGCAGCAAATACATTATCAGATTGTAAATATTGTTAGCGTTTTGAATAAATGACTGTCGACCTCTATGATCTTCATGAATGCGTCGGGAAAAGTCTTTCATTGATAACAGGTTTGTTAAAATGAAAATTCCAGAAAAATTAGCATCAGTAGAATACTTTTATGAATCTGCGCAGGAATTTTTCAATGTTCCTAATTGCAATCGATTACGTTAGCGTGTTTATGAAAAAAATCAGTGGAGGCTGTCTTGGCTCTTTGGTAATGCAACTGCCTTTTAATGATGCATTATCAGACCCCTAGGTAATGATGGGAATCAAACGCATGCGTTGTGAAGCCGTTCTGTAACTGTGTTACTTTTATAAGTTCGCATACAAAAACATACAAAAAACAGGTATCGTGCTCGTGCGATCGCGTACCTATCGGTCTTAGTCTTTTAGGTGCGTTTAGATGGTAAACGTTAATGATAACTAGTAATTATAATGACTGTATAATTGGAGAAGACGAAGTAAAGCAACTATCTCTCACAAGACGGATTTAATCGTTCCGTGAATGTGCAACACAAACACACGCTGAAGCGCCTTTAAACACCCGTCACATATACGACGCAAAGGAGAGGTATCCCGGGTAAAGCCTACTGGGTTGGGTGGTGGAGTACTATGGATTACTGTGCCACACATAAAATCCCTCCAATTTGTCCCTCGAAATACAAAGCGGTAACATTGGGTGTATGTTTGTGGATCGGTTTGTGCGTCTTTCCAAACCTTCGTCCTCCGTCCTTCACGTAGGCACGATGAAGAGTGTGAATGTCACGCGAGGAAGCAGTTATGGAATGGAAAGTCTACCGATACTGTTAATTTGATCCTCGAGTAAATCTTAGATAAGCGGTAGTGGGCATGTGACGCACGCGTTGCGGGCGTGACCCAACTGGTTGATACACAAATCAGGATCTAAAATTGTAAGGGTCCCTCCTAGGGTCTACACTGAAAGGAGCGAACTGCTTCGAGTGTGAGACGACGCACGAGAAGTCAATACTTTATTAGCGAAACGCAATAACGAAATCCCGAACAAAAATACAACAATGATGCGCAAAACAAAATCAAAAATACAATACAATCAAAAACCCCCGTGGGTCGGGGACAGAGAGAAGGCAGGGGCTCCTACCAAAGATGAATCGGCCACTAAGGCCTTCCTAAAGTCACCTCCTTCGCGAACCACAGAGGTTCGATTGAGAGCAGTCACCGAGGGTCTAAAGGCACGCAGCCAACTCCGTGAGGGCACTGACGGCGGGAGAGGGAGGAAAAAGATAAGACGACCTCATGCTTTCGAAAATCTCCCTTTATACGGTCTTTCCCGCGTCTTTTCTTTCTCAAGGCATATTTACTCTTGCTACCCTCCTACCTCCTGATCACTGCTGATCACCTACAGTACCCTGATCGTCCTCGACCCAATGGTATTTGATCTTACGGACATTTCCTCTTTGGCGGGACCCCACCACTGCGGTTCTCTCTGTCCCGCCCTGACAATATATCTATGGCAAACAGGTAAGATGTTTGCGCAATCAGACATATCTGATGAGTGCCTGGGCTTTGCCTTGATGTGATGTACCAACTTTAGATGATCATACGGTTTAGCAGAATTAAGCAAGTTCTTGGTTAGTAGCAAGGTCTTTGTCAACAACCCTACAACAACTTATGAGATGATCAAATATAGGAATAAGATAAAAAACGCATTTTTGATTATCTGGCTGAAGGCCAATACGCAACATGCCGTCAACTTCGACGCGTGACACTTCTTTGATCGCAATTATTTATTCATGCGTGGAAATTTATATGCAAAAGTTTTGCTCGAGCTCAGACCCGAACAAGCATCAGATCAGAAGCCTTTGGCGCTATATGTAGTATAATACCAGAAGTTTGAATCATGACTTCATTCGGGCTTCGATTTCTTGATATT